GGTAAGCTACAACCTTTACCAGTTCTACAACAACCATGGTCTCACCTTAGTATTGATTTTCTTACTGATCTTCCCCTCTCCCAAGATAACACCACTATCCTGGTCGTTGTGGATCGCTTTTCGAAGTCCTGCCGCCTCCTTCCTCTGCCCGGTCTCCCCACGGCCCTACAAACTGCGGAGGCTCTGTTTACTCACGTCTTCCGGTACTACGGGGTACCAGAGGATATAGTGTCCGACCGAGGTCCCCAGTTCACGTTTAGGGTCTGGAAGGCGTTCATGGAACGTCTGGGGGTCTCGGTCAGCCTGACCTCTGGATTTCACCCCGAGAGTATTGGGCAGGTGGAGAGGGTGAATCAAGATGTGGGTAGGTTCCTGTGGACCTACTGTCAGGACCGGCCGGGGGAGTGGTTGGTGTTCCTGCCATGGGCAGAATACGCTCAGAACTCTCTCTGCCACTCCTAACCTAACACCCTTCCAATGTGTTTTGGGTTACCAACCGGTCCTGGTACCGTGGCACCAGAGCCGGACCGAGGCTCCTGCGGTGGATGACTGGTTTCGGCGTGGAGGAGACTTGGGACGCTGCCCACATTCGCCTCCAGCGCGCCGTGCGTCGTCAGAAGGCGAACACTGACCGCCACCGCAGGGAGGCCCCGGTTTTTGTACCGGGGGATCGGGTCTGGCTCTCGACCTGGAATCTACCCCTCCGCCTGCCCTGCCGGAAGCTGAGCCCGCGGTTTGTGGGTCCGTTTAAAGTCCTGAGGAGGATAAACGAGGTTACATACAGGTTGTTACTCCCCCCTGATTACCGTATTAACCTCTCGTTTCATGTGTCTCTCCTCAGGCCGGTGGTAGCTGGTCCGCTCCAGGAGTCTGAGGTGCAGGAGGTTCCTCCACCTCCTCTGGACATCGAGGGGGCCCCGGCATACTCAGTCCGTTACTGGATTCGAGGCGTCGGGTGGGGGGCCTTCAGTATCTCGTGGAGTTGGAGGGGTACGGTCCGGAGGAATGGTGCTGGGTCTCAAGGAGGGACATCCTCGATCCCTCCCTGTTGAGGGATTTCCACCGTTGCCATCCGACTCGCCCTGCTCCGCGTCCTACTGCCGATTCAATTCTCATCACTCCACTTGTCATGTCTTGTCTTGTCAATCACACACACCTGGTGCTCATTCCCCTAATTAGTATGTATATACAGTGGGGGGAAAAAGTATTTAGTCAGCCACCAATTGTGCAAGTTCTCCCACTTAAAAAGATGAGAGAGGCCTGTAATTTTCATCATAGGTACACGTCAACTATGACAGACAAAATGAGAAAAATAAATCCAGAAAATCACATTGTAGGAATTTTTATGAATTTATTTGCAAATTATGGTGGAAAATAAGTATTTGGTCAATAACAAAAGTTTCTCAATACTTTGTTATATACCCTTTGTTGGCAATGACACAGGTCAAAAGTTTTCTGTAAGTCTTCACAAGGTTTTCACACACTGTTGCTGGTATTTTGGCCCATTCCTCCATGCAGATCTCCTCTAGAGCAGTGATGTTTTGGGGCTGTCGCTGGGCAACACAGACTTTCAACTCCCTCCAAAGATTTTCTATGGGGTTGAGATCTGGAGACTGGCTAGGCCACTCCAGGACCTTGAAATGCCTGTTACGAAGCCACTCCTTCGGTGCCCGGGCGGTGTGTTTGGGATCATTGTCATCCTGAAAGACCCAGCCACGTTTCATCTTCAATGCCCTTGCTGATGGAATGAGGTTTTCACTCAAAATCTCACGATACATGGCCCCATTCATTCTTTCCTTTACACGGATCAGTCGTCCTGGTCCCTTTGCAGAAAAACAGCCCCAAAGCATGATGTTTCCACCCCCATGCTTCACAGTAGGTATGGTGTTCTTTGGATGCAACTCAGCATTCTTTGTCCTCCAAACACGACGAGTTGAGTTTTTACCAAAAAGTTCTATTTTGGTTTCGTCTGACCATATGACATTCTCCCAATCCTCTTCTGGATCATCAAAATGCACTCTAGCAAACTTCAGATGGGCCTGGACATGTACTGGCTTAAGCAGGGGGACACGTCTGGCACTGCAGGATTTGAGTCCCTGGCGGCGTAGTGTGTTACTGATGGTAGGCTTTGTTACTTTGGTCCCAGCTCTCTGCAGGTCATTCACTAGGTCCCCCCGTGTGGTTCTGGGATTTTTGCTCACCGTTCTTGTGATCATTTTGACCCCACAGGGTGAGATCTTGCGTGGAGCCCCAGATCGAGGGAGATTATCAGTGGTCTTGTATGTTTTCCATTTCCCAATAATTGCTCCCACAGTTGATTTCTTCAAACCAAGCTGCTTACCTATTGCAGATTCAGTCTTCCCAGCCTGGTGCAGGTCTACAATTTTGTTTCTGGTGTCCTTTGACAGCTCTTTGGTCTTGGCCATAGTGGAGTTTGGAGTGTGACTGTTTGAGGTTGTGGACAGGTGTCTTTTATACTGATAACAAGTTCAAACAGGTGCCATTAATACAGGTAACGAGTGGAGGACAGAGAAGCCTCTTAAAGAAGAAGTTACAGGTCTGTGAGAGCCAGAAATCTTGCTTGTTTGTAGGTGACCAAATACTTATTTTCCACCATAATTTGCAAATAAATTCATAAAAAATCCTACAATGTGATTTTCTGGATTTTTTTCTTCTCAATTTGTCTTTCATAGTTGACATGTACCTATGATGAAAATTACAGGCCTCTCTCATCTTTTTAAGTGGGAGAACTTGCACAATTGGTGGCTGACTAAATACTTTTTTTCCCCACTGTAAGTGTTCCCTCGGTTCCCCTTGTCTTTGTGAGTGATTGTTTCATTGTGAGAGCGAGTAGCTCGGTTGAGCTACTCTTCCATTTGTTATTGCCAAGGTGGAATATTTCCATTGTGATAGTTTCGTATTGACGCTGGGTGCGTTTTATTTATGTAAACGGAATAAACTCTGGACTTCGGTGTTTTACCTCCTGCGCCTGACTCCTTCATTCACACCTCATCACAAACTCCCTAGTCCTTGCCGATGACAAGCATACCCATAACATGATGCAGCCACCACCATGCTTGAAAATGTGAAGATTTTCCCCAAACATAAAGCTTTGTATTCAGGACAAAATGTTAATTTCTTTCCCACATTTTTTGCAGTATTACTTCAGTGCCTTATTGCAAACAGGATGCATGTTTTGGAATATTTGTAATCTGTACAGGCTTCCTTCTTTTCACTGTCATTTATGTTAGTATTGTGGAGTAACTACAATGTTGTTGATCCATGTTCAGTTTTCTCCTATCACAGCCATTAAACTCTAACTGTTTTAAAGTCGCCATTGGACTCATGGTGAAATCCCTGAGCGGTTTCCTTCCTCTCCGGCAACTGAGTTAGGAAGGACGCCTGTATCTTTGTAGTGACTGGGTGTATTGATACACCATCCAAAGTGTAATTAATAACTTCACCATGCTCAAAGGGATATTTAATGCCTGCTTCTTTTTATTTTTACCCATCTACCAATAGGTGCCCTTCTTTGCGACGCATTGGTCTTTGTGGTTGAATCTGTGTTTGAAATGCACTGCTCGACTGAGGAACCTTACAGATCATTGTCTGTGTGGAGTATAGACATGAGGTAGTCATTCAAAAATAATGTTAAACACTATTATTGCGCCCATATAACTTATGTGACTTGTTAAGCACATTTTTACTCCTGCACTTATTTAGGCTTGCCATAACAAATGGGTTGAATACTTATTGACTCTAGATATTTCAGCTTTTCATTTGTAATACATTTCTAAGAATTTCTAAAAACATAATTCCACTTTTATATTATGAGGTATTGTGTGTAGGCCAGTGACACAAAATCTCAATGTAATCCATTTTAAATTCAGGCTGTAACACAACAACATGGGGAAAAAGTCAAGGGGTGTACTTTCTGAAGGTACTGTATGTCATGGGTGCTTGAGTCAATCAGAGCTCTGACATGAATTAAGCGGGTGCCTTATTGATGAATGGCTTGTTGGACACAATGGGTTTCTGTCACTCACCAATGTCTTTTATCTCTCTACAATAAATAACACTTCACATAGGAGCATGTGAGGGTGACTAACACCTCATGTACAAGCCAACTAGGGGGAGAGATCATAATGGAATGTAGAGCTGGGATGTAAAGGTGTGACTGGAAACATGATAATCAAGCTCTGAAAATCTCCATTCTATAGAATATAGCGTGTATAAGTAGTGTTTCTGAAGTAAGTTATGCACATGGCAAAGAGGTGGTCAGAGGAGATGGACGAAATGGACCCTGCTCACCCCTCCCCCCTCTCTCTCTTTCTCTCGCTCTTCCCCTATTTCTCCTTTCCACTTATTTCCTTTTCTAATTACCCCTGCATCCCAGCTCCTTGTAACACATCCCTCTGCTTTCTCTCCCCCCTCTCTCTCTTCCTGCCCCCCCCCCCCCCCCCCCCCTCTGTCCCCCCCCCCCCCCTCCGTGTCCTTTTTCTCCTTTACACCCACTCTCTCTTAGGGGGATCTATAAATAAGTGGATGCGTGTGGGGTGGGTTCAGCCTAATAGCGAGGGGACAGGTGCCCAGGCTCAGATTTCCCCAGTGAAAGAGAAGCCCTGCCACTCTCACACCCAAGGCTGCCGTCACACACACACACACACACACGCACGCTACAATGTGCCCTCTACCCACGGGCAGAAAACAGCCAGGTCTTAATCAATTACTTTTCATTTGTTTCAAACTGAAATTGTTACTACTAAATTCCTTTAGCTCCAGTGCTAAATATATCCCAACACCTAACACATTTAACAACTGAGGAGAGCGCTACAAAAACCTTTACCATACCAAATACTCTCTCAGTTCCCCTTTTGTGCTTCGACTGATTCTTTGTTTGGACTCCCTTTCCATGATTCTATTCAGAAAGCAGAGACTCACCCACACACAAACAAACAAACACACACACACACTACAATGTGCCCTCAAACACACACCTCTGCTTTGATTCTGCCTGGACTCACCCAGAACTTGACGAGAAAGAAAGTGTCTGGCGGCCCCTTCTCAAACAGCTCCTTCAGCCCTCCCTTCTTCTCAGGGAACTTGTCGTAGATCTGCCGGATGTCCACTGCCTCCAGGTAAGGGTCACTGAAGGTGGGGTTGGACTGACCGATGTGCACAAACAGGTGCTTGTTAAACTGGAAAACAAAGAGGAGAGGGAGAGAGAGATGTTGATTACTATCAGAGCACTGATTCAGTTCATGGTCAAGATGCAGTCATGGTGTGAGGATGTTAACATTACAGCTTTAGGGAAAGGGTTGGATGAAAAGGAACAGATATTGTTTTTCTTTATGTCTCAAACTTTTACATTGATGAGAACTGAAATGTTGATTATACATGTACAGTGTCCCTATCAACTAAGTGAGATTAATATGAATGTGGAGGCTTATTAGGCAGGGCGAGGGGCTACTAAATTACTACTCACGGTCTCTTGGTCCTGAGGCTGCTCCAGGAAGGCGGAGAACTCCAGCATGCGGAGCTTAGAGCTGGCGATACTCCGCCCCTGCCACGGGGGGGCGCCCGGCGACATTGAAAGGCCTGCCATGCTCTCATAGCCTGAAGAAGAGGGGGGGCGGGGAGTAACAAAATATACCATAGGTTTGAAAAATGTTGTTGCATACTGTCAGTTTCTCTGAGCTTTGTTGGAGCTCTTCATCACTTACGGACCATGACAACGTCTGTCGACACATGGGGACGTGAAGGGAAGCTGAGAAAACCCACCTGTTATGGGGAGTGGGCCGGACGACTGCATGGCGTAACTCTGCTGGGAAAAGGGCTTAATGCTGGAGAGACAAGACAGGCAGAAGACACATTACACCCTTACCCTCCTGACCCCTTGCACACACACACCTAATTGGACCGGCAGACCCTTAAACACACTGGGGGCTCGGCTTCATTAACGAAAGTGCTGTTTAAATAAACAGTTTCTCTGTCACATTCAGTTTTGACAGATTGTGATTTCCATTTATTCAGTGGCAGTAGGCCTATGCCTTTTTACTGACAGTCAGTCAGTCAGTCAGGCAGGCAGGCAGGCAGGAAGGCAGGGAGGCAGGCAGGCAGGCAGACAGGCAGACAGACAGGCAGGCAGACAGACAGACAGACAGACAGGCAGACAGACAGACAGACAGACAGACAGACAGACTCGCATGCACGCATAGGGCTGTGGCGATCAGGACATTTTGTCAGCTGGTTATTGTCATGCAAATGCTGCCGGTCTCACGGTATTTGACCGTTAATTAATATAAACATGTTTTGAATTTCCAGGCCTCCACACATACAAGCTGCTGATGCGCGCCTTTGGAACATCTACATTTAAAAGTCTAATAAATACATTTAATATACACCAACACAACAAATCCATTATTTATTTTAGACAGGTGTAAAGAAACATTATGATATGAAGAAAATGTATTTCAGAAGAACAGAATGAGTCGGTCTACTTACTGTATTATATGCTATCTGATTATGCGCCAGGCTGTAGACTAGTTCATTTAGCAGACCAGATATGCTTATAAGTCCTGTGCCATTATTTTATATTATATGATTTTATAGTAAGAAGAATGTAATTTAACTTATCTGAATAAAATACAAACAATATTTTTCCCATTCCAGAGCAAGTGCGCATATGAAGTGGCTATGTTGAGTGTAAAAGCAACCATTTGAAACAGGTCCTATACGCTAGATTTAGAGTTATTTGGCAACTTCAGTTGTGAATGATACAAACCTTAGAATGTCTTAGAAAACAAAACATTTATGGGCTGCATGATGCGACTATAGGATATTGATGACTGGAAAAAGTCGCAAAAAAAGCTTGCCTCAGGCTGCACACACTGTTCTCTCATCAAGTGATCATATTTTCACCCATCAGACTATTCTCAATTTAATCTTTACTAATATATACAATTTAGAATGACCATTAACATATGGGCAGGAACAGGGGCAGGGAAAAAAAACACATGTCATCCGTATGCACTCGAATAGCGAATGGAGGCAGCTTTCCCAGGGTTCGTTTTTCAATCATGCTGGGTAGGCTACTCCAGTTGTATAGCAGAGCATGTGCTTAATATTAGCTGAGAAATAAATATAGTAGCAGCTGGGATCCTCCCCTTTTTAGTGGCAACCATCAAAACTCTGCTTTCACATAGGATTGCATATAGAACTGTCTGGACTTATGCCACCTGGACTGATGTCACGTGTACTCCTGCTCCCCCCCTCTGGCGCTCGATGTCGCCGGTCTACTAACCACCGGTCCTGGCAACCCATAAGTATGCACACCTGGCAACCATCATTACGCACACCTGCGCAACATCATTAGGCACACCTGGACTTCATCACTTCCCTGATTACTCCCCCTTTATCTAGCGCTTCGTTGTTATCACCCATCAGGCAGTATTGTTCATGTTCAGACGCTACCCTTGTTTGTGTATTCACTCGATGTTCTAACATATTAAACTCACCGACTGCACCTGCTTCCTGACTCCCTGCGTCTTCGTTACAGCTTATAAGAACACCTATTCCACTCCACGCATCAACCACTTTCTGAGGGCTTGCAGCCTCTCGCTGCATGACAGCTGACATTCCGCCCAATTTGGCCAAACTATGTATGCCATGGGTTCTCCAACCCTGTTCCTGTAGTTACCCAGTGCTTAATTTGGGAAACCAAGTGAAATCTGTTTGAGAACATTAGTAAAATGTTTTCACAATGAAACATATTTAATTAAACTGTTGACATTTACATTGACATTTTAGTCATTTAGCAGATGCTCTTATCCAGAGCGACTTACAGTTAGTGAGTGCATTTTTTTTATTTTTTGTCTTTTTTTAGCAGTTATTTGTAATTGTAATTTTTATTTTATTTTATTTATTTATACTGGCCCCCCGTGGGAAACGAACCCACAACCCTGGCGTTACAAACACCATGCTCTACCAACTGAGCTACATCCCTGCCGGCCATTCCCTCCCCTACCCTGGACGAAGCTGGGCCAATTGTGCGCCGCCCCATGGGTCTCCCGGTTGCGGCCAGCTACGACAGAGCCTGGATACGAACCAGGATCTCTAGTGGCACAGCTAGCACTGCGATGCAGTGCCTTAGACCACTGCGCCCCTCTCTCGGCGCTCTTGAGAAAGGAATGAAGGAGAGAGAGGAGGAGATGGAAAGGCATAGTGGTGAGATATTCTGTAGCTAAAGGTAATGTGTCAGCCTATTCATTATGAAAATATAAAACATGCCCTATTACTAGGCTATTCAAAATCAAATTCACTATAACTGTAGGCTAACTCTGTAAGCCGCCCTGCACAATCAATGAACCAACCGCATCGCCTAATATGCCATTTAGCAGACGCTTTTATCCAAAGCGACTTACAGTCATGTGTGCATACATTTTTACGTATGGGTGGTCCTGGGGATCGAATCCACTACCCTGGCGTTACAAGCGCCATGCTCTACCAATTGAGCTACAGTATAGGTATAGGCTAGACCAATTATGTACCAAAGACATCTTAAATATTTCTATTTTATTTTTTATTTTCCTGCCGTGCGTAATATGCGGTAATTCTGGGGGTTTTTGGGGACTTGGGCTCATATATTGGCTTATGCATATGCATAAGCTCTAATATGCGTATGTGGGTTTTGAATGAATCATCACCTTAGAAAGCGCTGTTCATTTTGTTGTTAGGCTTTGAAACAACATCCACAAGGACCATGTTTTCCACTCAGTTTCAACCTGTTGTTGAACTTCTTTCTTCAAATTGATCGATCACAGTGAGGTGAGTTTTAAAAGCGCATACTGTTTTGATGATAAGTGTTTGATGTGATTTTGCATTGATGTCGGAGTGGTTAGAGGGACAACAGAGCGCTGAGTACCAGGCCATTAGTGACCTGGTGTTGGATACTACCAATGCATGTCCAGAGTGCATAAGAGGAGATTACCGTGACTCAACGGTCACGTGGAATTTGACTGCGGTCATGACGCATGACTGCCGGTGTTGCAGTAATACGGTCACCGCAACAGCCCTACGCACACACACAGACACACACACACATGGTTGTAACTTACTCTTCAGGACCCCCAGGCTGTCCTGGAAGACCGCCATGCCAAAACTGGAGAAAAGAAAACATGGAAACACATTTTATTACATACACTCTCAATGACACCACCTCTCCTTCTACTGTATATATATCCCCCAGTGTTGCACAAGGACAGGGTGTGTGTGTGCGTGTCTGTCTCTGTCTGTCTGCAAACACTACTCACTCCACCAGCAGTGGGGTACGGCGGCCTGGACAGCCCCTGCAGAGCCATCTTGTTCTGGAAGGCGGTAGCGGAGATGGTGGCCATACTCTGGAGGGCCTTGTCTTTGGCAGCCTGGTCCTACAGACACACACAGCAAGGCCCATGGGTCAGACATGCTCTCCATTATAGTCAGCACCCTGTGGGAATACTAGCCCCGTTATGTCATTTGTTGGGTGGGAAATGAGGGGTGAAAGCCAGGTTGATCATCCGGCGCTGGGCTGGGAGGCTGGGTGATATTGCAGTCAAGATCCCTGAGGTCGAGAGTAAGGTTTATTGCCTTGGCAGAGGCCGGGGGGTGTTGACAAGTGGCCTATGTCTCTGCTAGAGGTCACAGTGGGAACTGGGCTGGGCATGTCAGAGGGCTAGCTCTATGCTAATGGTAACGATCAAGCTAGTCTGCGGCTAAATGCTAACGGTAAGCAGGTGACATGGTGGCTACCAGAAACAGCAGTCATTCCTGTCTATGGTATAGCGTTATTGTTCTGTTGTGCGTGTGTCCATCATGTCGACATCATGCAGTTTCCAACTCATCAGGGACTACAAACACTCTCAGCCACTTAATGCTAGGCCACACGGCACAATCTTGTTCCCAGAACCGGCTGACACAAGGGCATAGCTGAAATAAGGGGAGTACATTTGGTAGTGTTCTCAGTTACAAGAAAGATGTATTTAAAAAGGCCTGTCAGAGGCTGCCTTGTGACCAATGCTGGGCCCTGCCAGCTGTGGCTCAGTGGCCACCGTCCAAGGTGACTGAGAGCTGTGTTGTCTTGTGTGTGTGTGTGTGTGTGTTTGCGTGCGTGCGTGTCTGCGGTAAGAAACGTAAACTAAGAAAGTGCTGGGGACGGTAAGTGTTAGGAAGCTTTCACCCACCAAACAGAAACACTTTTATTGAGATACTTACCAAATGAAATGCCTGGAAGGAACAATACAAAAATTAATTTATCTCCTGACAAATGCATTTGTTCATATCGTGCAGAGCAAGCCTCAGGCCAGGGAATGCTGGAGCGTATCCACATTTACTGTGGTCATTTGTAGATATGCATCATAGGACTAAGCATTCCATATAACACCCACACAAATGAAGGGGGTGCTATTAAATATAACCCACTCTCTTTTTCTCATTGTTTTGTCTCTCCATATTGTTTGTACTGAAATGTAGGAATGGGAATCCATTAGAATTCCATATCGAATTCATGGATATCAAGGCCATAGTACAGTATATTGAGTCATTTTTTCATGGAATCAAACCTAAAAATGAGAAGAGAATAACATGTTGAGAAGGTGCATGAAGACCTTTGCTTTCCTGATGATCTGAGCTCTGTGGCTTTAGAACAACATCATGGCTACAGCCAAGCAGCACCACAGCCTCCCCAACAACACACCAACTTCCCACTTTAAAACAGGTGTCTTCAACCTTTTCTTGCCCAGGAGCCCCCGCCCAGACAACCCGGTGACCCAAGGACCCCCATCATATGATAGCAAATAAAATAAGAAAAAAACACATATTGTCTTATCATCAGGTGAATGGCAATGAGAAGTAATCAACATTTTAAAATGAATAGATTTGGTAGTTTTTTATTATTCTTTTGACCTCCCACATTATAATTGGAAGAGGAAGTGTAAACTCTAACATATCCAATTAGATAGAAAGGTAACTCCAAACACATTTTAGCTAATAGCAGCTGTTTAGCTGGTTAAACAAAGGTTAGCCATGTGTTGGTAAAAAATGTATTAAGTCAAGAAAGCTTAGCAGCAGCGCTGCTAAGCGGGTAGCGGGTACTTTTTCAAAGCCTATGTTAGATACTCCAGTGAGTGTAATTAGCGGCAATGAGTGTAATTTGCTCAATATTAGGAGTTGAGAAATAAAGTTGACATCATTAGAAATTCTCCTCTTTTCTACTGTAGGTATGTAATTCAAAATTCCTTTATTCTGTTGTTGCTAGCTATATTATGTTGTTGCTAGCGATATTTTTATAAATACCCCTACCTTAAAAACATCAGCCAGCAGCACGCTACTCCAAATGACCTGCATAGCTAGTGCTGTAGCAGTCACAATTGGAATGGGTAGAATGGTAGACATTGACATTCCCATTGAAAGCAAGGTCCCTGCTGTACCATGGGATGTGGCATGGCAGACATTGGTGAGGAGGATTGGAATTTGGATTACTTGTGTTCTAAAAGGTCGAATTGCTCCGTTATATTGGTGGATCCATGTAAATCTTCCAGAATTTGAATGTTTGATTTGTTTTTCTACCCATTCCATTGCTATGGTAGTAGCCCTTCGAGCCAACCCACAATGCAGTGCACAGTTTCAAGATTCATAAAGGGGGGAGACTCACGTAGCGTACCTTCAGCTTCACCTGGATCTCCCGGGCCTTCCGTCGTGCTAGCACCTGGATGTGACTGGACACCTGGAGAAGAGAGAGAGAGGGATAGAGAGAAAGAGAGAGAGAGAGCGAGAGAGATTAGGTCTGATCAGGTCTATGGCAGATGTGCAGTACAGGGTTCAGCCAACTATCCTCCATGTTGGCGCCAAATGTACAACAAACAATAATATTCCTTTTCTCATTCTATGATGTCATTGTCTTGAGACTTTTGGTACTAACATGGCACTTATTAAGAAGGCCAAACTGATTTGTCCATGGCCCTGGCCACTGCTAGACCAGCAGGTGTCCCCCTTCCCCTCTCACTCTACCCTTCCTCAACTCTTTGTCAACCCCAACCCCTCTCCCTCTTTTCCCCCCATCACATCTTCACATAAACGGACATAGATGGAGCCCCTCTCCCTCTCTCTCTATGTAATGCAACATCAGTCAGTGCCAATATGTCAGTTAGTCACTCTAGAGAGAGAGAGAGCCTGGGAGCCTGGGACTATAAGGTTTTATCTGCATTTTTGTCCAAATTTAGTTATTGACATAGCCTTGTTCAGTTTAATGTTTTTTGCCTATATAGTACTCTAAATACCCACAATTCAAGTTGTTAAGTTCAAAAGAATACTAGATAAAAATTGCTGACACCATTCAAACCAATGAGGGTTTGGAACTTTAATGCCAATTATCTCAGAATCATATTTTTGCAGATAGAACCTTATAGTCCCAAGCTCTCGAAATCCCATGTCCCAGATAGGGTCCAAATCTCTGCCCCATCCAGTGTCCTCTCTGCCGTAAAGATCCTGTATTCCTCTGCTTCTTGCTCTAACAAGGCTGGGCTACATGCTAGGTGAGGTGGTGAAGAAACACACCGTCATCTGATCCTATAGCATCTGTGCATTGCGCTCCGGCCCTCTAAATCACTCAAGAGAGGCCCATTTCAGCGTGAGAACAGGGTTGGGGCTCGGGGAATGTGTAGGATTGAAAGCAGCATGGCTTTCCTCTAGCCCTCTCTGTGTCTTTTCCAGCCCCTGATTGGAGACAGCTTGGACAGACACGGGGTGGGTGGGTTGTTTAAGGGGTGCACAGGGTTTGGGAGAAAGGCCTGGAAACATATAGGGGAAAAATGGAGTGGTGTTACGAAACCCACCTGCTTTCTTGTCCGCGTCTTCCCTGTGCGTAGCTTGATGTACCGTGCTATCAGCTCGTTTCGTCCTGGAAGAGCCAGCACATTGACATTTTAGTTTTGACATAAAAAAAAAGATTTGCATTAAGAAAATGTAAAGTTATTCAATATAAAATTTGATATTTGTGGATTTGTTTAGATGCAAAGTTTGATTTAGTTTATTAGTTCATAGTGATATGGTCCAACAGTGTAAATCCTTTTTGAGTGTAGGTAAATGCAACAGGCTTGGCATGGTGTCAGTAGGAGGATAGGCCAGCTAGGGGATGATGAGGTACTGCTAACTTATCATCAGCATACTGGACGTGGCTGGCTGGGCAAATCAGCTGCAGAGGTGGGAGGGGAGTCTGAGTCTGTGCTAATGTGTCCTGTATGTGTTTGTATTGGTGTAAGTGTGTGTGTGTATGTGGACGTGTTATCAGTAAAAGTGTGTATTTGTGTGTGTGTGTGTGCTTGCCCTGGTCAAATTGGCTGAGCAGGTGAAGGGGTATAGCAGGAGGCCTGGCCTGGAGAGGCCGCTCGGCAGCTGGTGTGTGTGTGTCAATGTTTATTGAATATGCCTTTAAGCCTGCAGTAAATCTTGGGCTTGTTCCTCCATCAAGGCTCTGGTTACAGGGCAAGGGACTTGGTTCAATGGGCATGTGGCCTCTCACCTCTTTCCCTGGCCCTGTACACACACACATACACACACACACGCACACACGCACGCATGCAAGCACACACACACGTATATGGACACACACACACACACCACACACACACACACACACACACACACTCAGCCTGCCTCCTAGCTGTAGAAGAGTCGAGTTTGTACCACCTCTTAAACACTGTAATTTTTCCCTCTCACACCACATCTCCATGTGAATTAACACAGAGATCAGTCACGCAATGCAACGTGGAACAACCAGCGTAAGACTTTCCTCGCATAGTGATGCTTGGGTCAGAAAACCCGGCCCTACCCCGTCTGACCAATCAGAATGCCCGGTCAGGTCGAGAAAGGCAACCCGAACCCCAAGGAGCCCAGAAACACTGGCAGGCAATAAAAGTGATCAGATTCAGCTTGCACTCCAAATGGCACCCTATTCCCTATATAGACTAGGGCCCTGGTCAAAGGTGGTGCACTATATAGGGAATAGAGTGCCGTTTGGGACGCAACCGCAGAGTGGAATGCAAAACATAGTTTCTCCAGCTCTCCTCTGTACCTCGCTGCTGCGGATAAGGTTCTAGCAGATGGTGTTTGTTCAGACATACAGTAACTTTCCACTAATCAATCTCTAACAGTGTTAAAGTATAATAGGGGACTTGTCCACTGCAGGCAAATTTACGACTTATGAAATTGTAAGCATTAGAGGGCGTTGTGGTGAATTTGGCGGTGATGGTTTTCTGTGAAGTGGCGACATGTTCACAAAAGAGTCAAATTAAGGAGGCCGATGTTAACCTCTTTATGCGCACACACACACACACACACGCACACACACGCACACACACGCACGCACACGCACACACACACAGCTGTAGGGCTCCCTTTGTGTCAGGCTTTTATGGACTTAAACCCTTCTCTCAGTCTCCTGCCTCCACACACGGCCCAGTCACGGCACTCATTCACTCTGAATCTTATTTTCATTTCTGGGCTGGAACTGCTCAAGCGTTCAGTGTTTATCATAAGGTGCACTCACTCGCCGATTCTTTGAGCACCTCAATGCATATTTCTTTAATCCCTTTGGATTAAAAAAGTGTTCCACATTTCTTGTGCACTTTGAAGTCGCTGACTGAAAGCAGGCAAATACTTTTTGTGAGGTCACTGAGGTGACTTGGGGAGGTCTCTGAGGTGACTTGGGGAGTTCTCTGAGGTGACTTGCAGATGCTGTAGAGATGTTTATGTCAGTGGGAGGACTACAAGGTATGAGGGTGCAGGCAGAGAGCTTTCTCTTATTTCCTGACCTCAAATGAGCAACGCAACTTAATATTAAGTTCCCATTATTCTGTTGCAACTTGCAAGTTACCACCAGTAGTTTAGAAAGCCCATTGTAAGTCAAATTACATGTACAGTTGAAGTCGGAAGTTTGCATACACCTTAGCCAAATACATTTAAACTCAGTTTTTCACAATTCCTGACATTTAATCCTAGTAAACATTCCCTGTCTTAGGTCAGTTAGGATCACCACTTTATTTTAAGAATGTGAAATGTCAGAATAATAGTAGAGAGAATTATTTATTTAAGCTTTTATTTCTTTCATCACATTCCCAGTGGGTCAGAAGTTTACATACACTCAGTTAGTATTTGGTAGCATTGCCTTTAAATTGTTTAACTTGGGTCAAACGTTTCGGGTAGCCTTCCACAAGCTTCCCACAATAAGTTGGGTGAATTTTGGTCCATTCCTCCTGACAGAGCTGGTGTAACTGAGTCAGGTTTGTAGACCTCCTTGCTCGCACACGCTTTTTCAGTTCTGCCCACAAATGTTCTATAGGATTGAGGTCAGGGCTTTGTGATGGCCACTCCAATACCTTGACTTTCTTGTCCTTAAGCCATTTTGCCACAACTTTGGAAGTATGCTTGGGGTCATTGTCCATTTGGAAGACCCATTTGCGACCAAGCTTTAACTTCCTGACTGATGTCTTGAGATGTTGCTTCAATATATCCACATAATTTTCCTTCCTCATGATGCCATCTATTTTGTGAAGTGCACTTGTCCCTCCTGCAGCAAAGCACCCCCACAGCATGATGCTGCCACCCCCGTGCTTCACGGTTGGGATGGTGTTCTTTGGCTTGCAAGCGCCCCCCTTTTTCCTCCAAACATAATGATGGTCATTATGGCCAAACAGTTCTATTTTTGTTTCATCAGACCAGAGGACATTTCTCCAAAAAGTACGATCTTTGTCCCCATGTGCAGTTGCAAACCGTAGTCTGGCATTTTTATGGCGGTTTTGGAGCAGTGGCTTCTTCCTTGCTGAGCGGCCTTTCAGGTTATGTCGATATAGGACCTTATATTAGATAAAGGGAACATAAGTGAACTAAATATGTAATTGTTGTGTTATTTGTTCACTTACGTTCCCTTTATCTAATATTAGGTTTTGGTTGAAGATCTGATAACATTCAGTATCACAAATATGCAAAAGTAGAGAAAATTAGAAAGGGGGCAAATACTTTTTCATAGCACTGTAGATACTTTTGTACCGGTTTCCTCCAGCATCTTCACATGGTCCATTGCTGTTGTTCTGGGATTTATTTGCACTTTTCGCACCAAAGTACGTTCATCTCTAGGAGACAGAATGCATCTCCTTCCTGAGCGGTATGACAGCTGCATGGTCCCATGGTGTTTATACTTGCGTACTATTGTTTGTACAGATGAACGTGGTACCTTCAGGCGTTTGGAAATTGCTCCTAAGGATGAACCAGACTTGTGGATGTCTACAATTTATTTTCTGAGGTCTTGGCTGATTTCTTTTAATTTTCCGATGATATCAAGCAAAGAGGCACTGAGTTTGAAGGTAGGCCTTGAAATACATCCTCAGGTACGCCTCCAATTGACTCAAATGATGTCAATTAGCCTATCAGAAGCTTATAAAGCCATGACATACAGTGAGGGAAAAAAGTATTTGATCCCCTGCTGATTTTGTACGTTTGCCCACTGACAAAGACATGATCAGTCTATCATTTTAATGGTAGGTTTATTTGAACAGTGAGAGACAGAATAACAACAAAAAAATCCAGAAAAACACGTCAGAAATGTTATAAATTGATTTGCATTTTAATGAGGGAAATAAGTATTTGACCAAAACATGCAAAACATGATTTAGTACTTGGTGGCAAAACCCTTGTTGGCAATCACAGAGGTCAGACGTTTCTTGTAGTTGGCCACCAGGTTTGCACACATCTCAGGAGGGATTTTGTTCCACTCCTCTTTGCAGATCTTCTCCAAGTCATTAAGGTTTCGAGGCTGACGAAACCTTCAGCTCCCTCCACAGATTTTCTATGGGATTAAGGTCTGGAGACTGGCTAGGCCACTCCAGGACCTTAATGTGCTTCTTCTTGAGCCACTCCTTTGTTGCCTTGGCCGTGTGTTTTGGGTCATTGTCATGCTGGAATACCCATCCACGACCCATTTTCAATGCCTTGGCTGAGGGAAGGAGGTTCTCACCCAAGATTTGACGGTACATGGCCCTGTCCATCGTCCCTTTGATGCGGTGAAGTTGTCCTGTCCCCTTAGCAGAAAAACACCCTCAAAGCATAATGTTTCCACCTCCATATTTGACGGTGGGAATGGTGTTCTTGGGGTCATAGGCAGCATTCCTCAACCTCCAAACACGGTGAGTTGAGTTGATGCCAAAGAGCTCGATTTTGGTCTCATCTGACCACAACACTTTCACCCAGTTCTCCTCTGAATCATTCAGATGTTCATTGGCAAACTTCAGACGGCCCTGTATATGTGCTTCTTGAGCAGGGGGACCTTGCGGGCGCTGCAGGATTTCAGTCCTTCACGGCGTAGTGTTACCAATTGTTTTCTTGGTGACTATGGTCCCAGCTGCCTTGAGATCATTGACAAGATCCTCCCGTGTAGTTCTGGGCTGATTCTTCACCGTTCTCATGATCATTGCAACTCCACGAGGTGAGATCTTGCATGGAGCCCCAGTCCGAGGGAGATTGACAGTTCTTTTGTGTTTCTTCCATTTGCGAATAATCGCAGCAACTGTTGTCACTTTCTCACCAAGCTGCTTGGCGATGGTCTTGTAGCCCATTCCAGCCTTGTGTAGGTCTACAATCTTGTCCCTGACATCCTTGGAGAGCTCTTTGGTCTTGGCCATGGTGGAGAGTTTGAAATCTTATACAGGTAACAAGCTGAGATTAGGAACACTCCCTTTAAGAGTGTGCTCCTAATCTCAGCTCGTTACCTGTATAAAAGACACCTGGGAGCCAGAAATCTTTCTGATTGAGAGGGGGTCAAATACTTATTTCCCTCATGAAAATGCAAATCAATTTATAACATTCTTGACATGCATTTTTCTGGATTATTTTGTTGTTATTCTGT